TCATTTCTTTTTCTTTCTCTCTACCTCCAGAAACTTACGTTTGCCCGGAGACGCACTTCAAGTGCAACAACTACTTTTGCATTCCCGATGATAAAGTTTGCAATTTCGTTAATGATTGCGGTAAATCTCTTGCACTTTTTATGAAAAATTTAATCGTGCTGATAAGCTTGTTTTGTTCATTTTTACAAACCCTCTCTTCACAGGCGATAATTCGGACGAAGAAAAATGCTGTAAGTGACCGATGCATTAGTTTTTTGCACCATTTTTTTTGTTTATTGCACTACTTGTCAAGTGCCCAGTGAGTGAGTGCGAGAGTGAGTGTGTAAGATTTTCTTTTTACTACATTAGTCTGTGCACGTCTTACACTGAAAGCCATTATTAAGAGTGGTCTCAGGTAATAAAGCAGGTAACTGATATTGATGGCAATCCTCTCTTCTCACTCTACATCACTCTCCTTCATTGCCTACTTTTTTCCTGCTCGTAATCAAATCAACCCTGCCGACACCTTTTCTAGTGTTGGGGGTTATTAATAGCCATGATCCAGAGAAGGAAGCAGAGGAGGAGAAAAAACTGACACACCTAGCAAATCTATTAGGTGATTCAAGTCGAGTGGCCAAAAAGTAAAAGTAGTGGTTCTTCTTCTTCTTTCTTTTCTTTTCTTCCGGTTTCTTTCTTTCTTCAGAGTTATTCTTTAGAGAGGGTCGAGAAATGGGAGACTCATTTGGCGATGATTTACTGCTGCTGTCCTAGCTGCTCTATTGTCCGTCGCTGGCAAGTGCACACACAGACAGTGCCTCGTTGATGTGGTGATTGTCGCTGTAGCTCACTCACTGATGATGGCAACATTATCGTTCCGGACAACCGTCTTTTGCCAGCCTAGGGAGCATAAATAAGGCAACAAAGCCATAAATGATGGTGCGTGTCTGAATGCACATAGTCAATGGTTGGCGAGAAACTTCAACGAACCTCAAATGAACTGATACCAACATTTGCCGTTTGCCTTTGCGCAATCAGAATGTGTACGATGGAAATATCTTCCTACGTAACCGGCAATCACACCGATGCTTTGGTAGGCAAGAGAATTTCATTGTTGTCGACTGTTGTGTACTCAATTTGTTCCTTCCCGTTTCAATTTGTCCCTTCTTTTTAGCCTGTCTAAAAGCCTTTTCTTCTCTCTGTTGCACATTAGCTCACTAATGCTGGCAATTAATGATTGTCAATTAGGCGCCGCATAACCATTAGCCCAGAGAAGATGACACAGGTGTAACACACACATGCACACGTTATACATAAAAAAGGTGAAATGCCCACCAAGGGAAATAGAGTGATTGAGGTGAATCATGGCGTCGTAATAGTGTGATGGGTGAATCACAGTGCCTGCCTGGCAGATAAGGGTGACAGAATTCTGCTGAACGCAAGCAATGCACTTTTTTTGTCGTACAAAGCAAACCTCACCAACTGCAGCAGCAGTGTCACTAATTGAGAATGAAAGAACATTAGAGTGAAAAAAATGAGAGCAAACACACACTATCAGCTTCCTTTGATTGGTTTCCTCTCTAAATCGATACTTTTCTCTTTTTCACTCGAATGGCAAATTGAATTGCCAGCAATTAGTGGGCATTTAAATTAGCAGTAGTGCACTGCCTGCGCCTGCAGCTCGCTGCCCTTCCTGACTGCTTTCCCCTCTTTTTGGGTCTGCTTTTGGTGCTTCTGCTTCTCTAAATTGTTTGCCTTGTTCAGCAGAGGTGTGTAATGTGTTGTTTGGCGAGAGAAAATATTTGACAAAGGCATACACGCAAACACAACCACACACACACTCACACTCACATGCATACATACACGAAACAATGTGTCAGCAGCAGCGACTGATCACCGCCATCACATCACGTTGCAGCATGTACTTAGCGGACACTGAGACCAAACAGAGGGCGAAAACCAGAAAAAAGAGCCTGATGGTGTGTGGTTCTTTCCCGAGACTGCTGTGCACACTGTGTGGACTGTGGAGAGAGGGAGAGAGGGAGCCTGATTGCAATAACTTCTATGCAACAACTGCTCGACATTGGACCAGCAGTGGTGAGGCAGCTTTTGCTGCCGTGCTGTACCACAGTGTTCCCTTTTCATTAATGTCTGCTGGCTGCCTTCCTGCCTGCCTGCGCTTGCATCAATTACCATCACACTACTCTGTAGACTGTACTTTCTGCCACTTTCTCTCTGTCTATTAATTTCTTCCTTTATCAATTTGCTGCTGTTGTTGCCGTTGTCTAGCCGGTGGTGACACAGAACAGCAGCAGCAGCAGCAGCCAGTGCTGAAGTAGGCAAAGTAGACCGACTGACTGGCACTGAGTGAGTGGCGTTCCACCAAGAGCTTGCAGCTGCCGGCTGCTCGTTGATACAACGATACTCCACTCTCCCATTCCTTCCCATCCATTCACTCACACACTCCATTCTTTACTCTTTAAACCTTTTCACCACTCTTCTCCACATTCTTCTTCTTCTTCCACCCAATTCATCCACTCAGTTCTATCCAGCTCGCTCGATATTACTACTCAGCCATTTTTTCTTTCACTCTGCCCTTGTCATAAAAAAGTAAAGCCAAGCTGGTCTCTATTCTTTTCTTCACTTTTCTAATTTGGGTGCCATTTGATCCCTACTTTGGACGAATCGTCTTTTTTCACTCTTCGTTTACACTAACTCAATTGCGCGGCAGTGATCTCTCGCTAACAGGAAAATAACTTTAGTTGCAACTGAAAATATAGATATGACGTTGCTTCACAACATAGCTTAACAGCATTTTTCAGCTGATCACTAGAAACGTCATATTTTTTTCAGCTGAAACTAAAGCCATATTTTCCTGTGTGAACCCTCTCTGCCAGTTCACAGCCGCATCAGAGACGGCTGCGGTTTAGTAGTGAGCACTCCTAGTAACAGAAGGCAACATTAATCCCTCTGGTAGATCGATGAAGCCTTCTTACTCTCTCAGTATATTAGAAATCATACTATAAATGTTTGCCAATTAAATGTCAGCAGCGGTTCGAAGACATTCTTAGCTTTGCCGCCGCCGCCGTCACAATTTCGAATCCTCACTTAGTTTCTTCTCAACTTTGTGGCAACTTTATAATTCAACTTTTCCTTCACTTCTTCTCTTCTCTCTCCTGCCATCTGTTACGACCAGTTTTTTGTTGAATTGTTCAGCTTCCCTTTTCTTTTTGTTCATTCATTCTCAAGTAAGTAAGCCATCGTCTGCGTGCCATCGGCTCTCAGAGAACTGGCTGTCGAGAGCAGCAGCTTCTTCAGCACCCTCAGCAACAGCATCAGCAGCAGGCAGACCTTTTTTAAATGTTATTAATTTTGCCGCTTGGCTAATTAATCTTTCGTTAGCAAGTGCCCCCGTTTTAGAGTCTTCTTCTGAGTTTTTTTCTTGGTGCGAAACTAAACAAAACTTTAACTGCAATCAGATGAGCTAGCTTTCAAAGTTGAGATGACACACAGTGTAGCTAGCTAGCGACGAAGGCATCTCTCGACTGATTGGACACGGCAACTCTTCAAGAGAGTGAGCGAGAATGCATTTCGCTTTTTCTTTTTATTGCCTTTTCTTTCTTTCATTAGCGAGCGATCAGCGAGCACACTTTGCACCGCACGGCGAGTGGCAAACAAATTAAAAAGTGTCTGCTGAAGGAATTTTAATAGTTGGTCGCGCGCGCACTTTATGGTCGCACTTTTTTCAGTGCGTTCTGGCACTGGCTGGTAGATCAGTGTACTGTGTTTTTTCTTTCACTTAAGTATTAGTTTTAAAAAATGGGCCATCGATGAGCGGCCATGACAGGGCATCTAATGAAGAGAGCCGCCACACTGAGGACGGTAATGGACTTTTCACAGGAGGCCTTTTCTGTACTTGTTCTCCCTGTTAGTTCCTGGAGCAGCAAAAATAGAAGGTCCCGATAGCCCTTCTTACGTCTATCACAGCTATAGAGCGCAGTAAACAAACTTTGATCCAGAAGATGAACAATTCTTCATTTCAGTGCAAACATTTGACTTTATTGTTTTTATGGATTTTAAGTAGCACAGTAATGCAGTTGATGCGGCGGATCAGTGCTGTTGCTGCTGCTGCTGCTTTGTCGTGCCCTTTTGGCGCTGCGTCAACAAAGTCAAAACGTCAAAGAGACTTTGGTGAATAAGAATCACTAAGTAGTCCCGCTTGAGATGTTTGCTGTCTGTCTGCTGGCCTGCACTGCTTCCACTGCTTCTTACTAGTCAATAACTGAATGATTGTTCTCTGTTTCCTCTCCACCACCGCTTCGATCGAAATCGATTGATTGAAATCGACATAGTCAGCCAGAGAAGAGATGGGCGCCGGTGTCTCTCGAACCGACTTTGACTGGGCCGATGACTACCACACGCACAACCGACGACGGGCCATCATACTGAAGAAGTACCCGGAAATTCGCAAGCTAATGACCTACGATCCAGTTTTCAAGTGGAAGGTCCTGGCCATGGTCGCCGCCCAGATAATCTCATTTGTGCTGCTCAGCAGTGTAAGCAGCTTCTGGGTGTTCTTCATTAGCGCCTACTTCTTCGGCGGCGTCATCAACCACTCTCTGACGCTGGCCATTCACGATATTTCGCACAATCAGGCGTACGGCTACGGGCGACCTCTGGCCAATCGACTTTTCGGTATGGTGGCCAACCTGCCCATGGGCATTCCCACCTCGGTGACCTTCAAGAAGTACCACGCAGACCACCACGCCTTTCTGGGAAAGCAGGCAGACACTGACTTGCCCACCGAATGGGAGGGTCGATTCTTCAACACCTCACCGCGGAAGATACTGTGGCTCATTCTCAACCCACTCTTTTACGCCATTCGGCCGATGGTGGTTTCCCCAAAGCCAATTGAAGCTCTGGAGGTGCTCAACCTCATTGTCCAGTTTTCATTTGACTACGTAATCGTTCGATACTTGGGCTGGCATATTCTTTTATATATGATTCTGAGTTCACTGGTGTGCATGGGCCTGCACCCAATTGCCGGTCATTTCCTCTCTGAACACTACGTCTTCTTCTACGAGGAAGATTACCTGGAAAAGCTGAGAGTGCACCAAAAGGAGCTTAGTGAGAAGTTGCTGGTGCCAGAAACGTTCAGCTACTACGGCCCCTGGAACCTACTCACCTACAACGTGTAGGTGTAATGTGCTTAACTAACCTTCGCATGCTCATCTGATTGATTTTCTTTTGATCCATTTAGCGGGTACCACGTAGAGCACCACGACTTTCCCAACATTCCCAGCTCGCTGTTGCCTGAAGTGCGGCGCATTGCCGCGGAGTTTTACGAGCCACTGTGTTACCATACCTCCTGGACGAGGGCACTGCTGCGGTACATACTTGACCCACGAATGGGCCCATTTGCCCGAATACGCCGAAAGGAGCTTTTTGTGGAATACATGAATACGAATAAGGCAGCGGCGGAGAATGAGGCAGACGGTACAGCGGTGAATGGCGTAGACCATAATGGAAACGCTACGGATTTGTCGCAGCAGAAGCAGAGGCAGCAGAAGCATTCCAATGGCGTACACTTGAACGGCGCTGGTGAGACGAGGAATGGCGGCAACTTCCGCGGCCGTAAAGCGGCAGCATCCACTCAAGACAAGTTGAGCGTAAAGGAGAGCGAGAATGAGCTGATCAAGGCTCACTACACCTTCTACGAGTGAATGGGTCTTCTGAAAAACCTCACAAAGTAAAAAGGTCAACCTTAGTACTTCCTTCCTGCCTGGTCAGGAAGCAAGGGAAGGGGAGGAGGGCAATCATCTCACCGTACACTATTATCATGTTTATATTTATTTCATTGTTGAAAGGAGAAATACGGCAGCAATTAATGTTGGCTGCTTCAATTGCCGTCACTCTTCGGGCCAAAATAAAAGTGCCACATGGGATACACAAAGCCAGACTGTGTGCGTCTTTGTTTTGTTTTTATGTATGTGAGAAAACGAGAGAGAGAGAGAGAGAGAGAGAGAGAGCGTCTTGCATTGCATCAGTGACAATTTGCAACCTCATCATTCCTCATTCTAAAAATTGACCAAATTGTTATTCTGCTCTCTTTCTCCTTTTCTTTCATTCCTTTCAGCCCATCGTGACTGTTGGTTCAGCGAGTTTACGTGCCGATCGGGACAATGTATTCAGGCTTATGGCGTCTGCAATGGGATCAAGGACTGCCTTGACGAGGCGACCGACGAGGCGCAGTGCCACGAGCAAGGTAAGTCACGGAACAATTGCCAGCCCCAGATTATGGAGAGGTTTAAGGCCTAAATGGTCACTTGCACCTTATCTGAGGCCATTTCTCAATTGCATTGCCAGTCTCCTGGTGATGATGCATGTGCCAAGTACTTCTGGAGAGTGCCTACAACTACAACTTCTGATAAGAAAAGGCAGCCTAAAGTCTAAAATACGCTGTAACTGACTGTACGCTTTCTCTCTTTCATTCTCTTCTTCTGCCTTTCTCAGACTTTGTCCACTGCAAGAATGGCGTGTCCGTACATCGAAGTCTTTGGTAATAATGATCACCATCAGCTTTCATTCCCTCTCCCCTCCCTATCCTTCTCCCTCTCTCTCACCCAATTTGCCTCTCTACTGAGCGCTCCCAGCGGAGGCCACATAAATCACAGCACGCTAAGCAGCAGTGACGCAGTTTTGGTAATGAGCGAACAATGCGTGTGGCCGACACGGTGCAGAAGAACGCAAAGAAGGGAGGCAGGCAGGCAGGGAAGACCACTGAAGAAATGAGAAATGCCAGGCGGTGTAGTCAGCCATCTGTGTGTCTGTCTGTGTGTGTCTGTCCGTCTCTGGTCGGCCTGTGTGGACTTGCTTGAGCAGCCTTCACTTTTCTTTTTCTCCTTCTTAACCTCGTCCTCTCCACTCTGATTTGTCGTCCAATCCATCTTAATGCCTCTTTCCTGTCTGTCTGCCTGCCTCACTTTTTCTTCAACCGTCACGGGCACTACGACCACAGCCACCGCAACGACCATCATCACAAGCAGCATCATGCCCAGCAGTACCATCATCCAAAACCGCCTACTGTCTGGCACACAAAGAGCATATGCTAATTACCCTGCATTCTTCAAATAGGCTGCATTACCATTGTCGCAGCTAATTACCACTATTAGCTTACCCTTTCTTCTTCTAGCGGTATTATACTACTGCCTACAAAAGTACCAGCACCAGTAAATCACTCAGCTAGCTGTATGCGGCAACTTTTCAACTAGTTTTTCATTTGTTTTCTCGCTTTATCCCCTCTCATCTCTCAAATCTCTGCTCATTCAGTGCTCAACACATCCTTTTTGTACTCTTTTTTTGAAGGTGCGATGGAAGACCAGAGCCCGACTGCCCCTCGCAAGAAGATGAACAAAACTGTAAGTTATCAAGTTTTTGTTTCTTTATTTTTGTTGTTTTTTGTTTGTAGTTTTTTTCCTTTGTTGTTGAACGGCATTATGCTGCCGCTGCTGCCCATTATTCTATGGTTATCATCGCCATTTGGGCACACATTCTCTTGGGCAATCTCCGCTGTCGATGCGTTTGCATCAATTTCAGTTGTTTAAAATTCAAATGACTTGTGCCATTTGTGTGTGTGTGTGTCTTACTGAACACTGTACAGTGGTAGAGCACTGTGCACTGTGTCCTCCACCGCACTCACCCTTCGACTGACGCTAATGCAAGCTGTCGGTGTCATATCTGCACTTTTTTCTGCAGCTCACTTTCTCCTGGTTCACTTTCTACACTTGCTCTACACCGAGGGCACCGCTGCAAATCAGCATTCGCCTAATTGCCTCACTCTCGCCCTCACTCACTAGCTGCTAGGCCGGCGGACTTGGCCGCCGCCGCCGACTCTCTTTCACTTCGCTGGGCATTAAAAGCAAATCAGACGGCGACAGTCCAAACAGCAAAAACAGCCAAATTGCCAGCCATTTGATGATTATGCTTTGCAGATGGCAAATGTCACCATTAATAGTGGATTATATTGGTTCGATTCGTTTCATCGATGCCACTGCACCATCGCCAGTGCTGCACCGGTTTCGCCCTACACCGAAAAGGAGAAAAAAGAGTAGCATGAAATTGTGAGAGAGAGAGAGAGAGAGAGAGAGAGAGAGAGAGAGAGAGAG